GACTAATCACAGTAGCTGACTGCAGACACACAGCACCACGCAAAGCTTTACACCCCTCTGTGAGAACTGGCTAGAGCACAGCAACAAAAAGTCTTCAAACACTAGTTTTAGGGAAAGAAAATTTTAGGTAGATAATTTTAAAAATAACAAACTAACAACTAAACAGTTCTTCCACATAACTCAGTAGACCTTGTAATGAACTTCTCAGAGGCAGAGCTGTTTGCAAAAAAGTGAATCCCAGTAACTAGGCCTTTGCAGCTGACTGGTTCTGGAAACAAAGCAAGCCCTCTACTTAGGGGATGATCCCAAAAGGGGGAAGAGAGAGAAGATGGCTCCACCACTAAGAGCCTGAAGTTACAGTCCATCAAACCACAAATTCACTTCAACATAAATCTTTAACTAGCAGAGAAGGTGGAAGCCTTCTAAGGCCATCAAAGGCAAAAGCAAAAAATTCCTTGATGAGGGTTTATGGAAGGGTTCAGGCAGGGGATTGCACAAAGTAGACTTGGAAGGAGAATAATACCACCTTAGCCTTAAGTGAACAATTATCACACAGACATTATATAAAGAGAACCCTTCATCTCCTCCTCCGGCTGTAGCTTCCTCACAAACATATCAACACACAAGTGCTGAGAAGGAACAAAGGGAGAACAAAAATTCTCAAGTAGAAACTCAGGGAATGCACAGACAGGAACAACCATTAAATCACCAAACATTATTTCCTTTCTTATTTACCAATTAAATTTCACTCAATTTCATCAGTACCTTGTACTTCACAAGCAGGTTCACTACATAAATTATTTAAGATGGATGGTTTCAGCTTCTTGTTTTGAATTGTTAGGAAAGATATATCTCTACTAAATGTAAAGACCTCTTAAGTGTCTAAGGTTTTTGCCCCTGAACTCTGTAGGAGTACTTGAACAGCATAAATTATTTTCCAAAGACTAAACTAATAACACTTGTAAAGTTTGCTTCAAAAAAAGAGGACGTGTATATAGAAAGCAGCCTAACTTGACCAGGAGCAAAGAAGCTGCACACAGACCACTAACCACACACTAATACCTTACTTCAAACTCATCCTGTGCTAAAAGGAACAAGAATCACAAGCCTGCAAAACAGCAAGATGCTAAACAGCTTATCCAGTGGGTTCCTTACCGCCTTCAGGTACTGCATCTTCCTCAACACAGAGAATGCTAGTGCTAACAAAATTACTTCATTGTCTTTTATGTATTCCTTGGACATAGATATCAGGGGGCGGGGAAAAAACCACCACACACACCTTTCATGACTGAGACTGTCACAGAATTTTTAATTTATCAGTCTCTATGCATTTGAAGTCCACAGCTGAGCTAACATACATACTACAGTTGACTGCTTCAAGGAAAATCCAATCTCAGAAGGGTGAGGTTTCAGCGCTAGCATCCTTCCTAACACAGAAATAAAGAGCAGGGTAAGAACAGGCTTCCCATCTGTCACATGCATTAAAACATGGGTGATAAATGTGGCAGACAACCCACTTTTTTTCAGCTGTCACTTCAAAGAAGTCCTCAGATAATCCTCAAGTGCACAGACGCGCGGGCTACAGGTTGAACACTGAAACTTACTGTGATTTTGGCCAAAATTTCCACTTTTGTTAGTCAAACACAATAAGGATTGTAGTTACTGTACCAGAATCCCAACACACATAAACAGGTTCAACATTTTAAAAAATAGAAATACCCAATTCTCTTGCATGTTTTTATACATACTGCATGTAAATAAAATTATTATTCCAGTCGGGAGATACAGAGAGGTATCAACACTTAAAAAAAACCTAGATCCTAAGTTGTTAAAAGTGAGCCATCTCACCTCAATACTCATACTTCAGTTGATACTCAGAGGTTTCCACTTCTGCTCTCATGCTCTGTTTAAATTGTTTAACCTTTTAAAGTATCACAGACCTAGATAACACTAAGAAACAAGCTTAGATTGAGTTTAGATTAGACTCCAAATCTAAGAAAAGAGTAATGAAGAAAACAGGATTAGACATTATAGAAATAATGGCATTGAAAAGACATCCACTAAAGCAGTAAAATCTATATTCCTTTTTTTTTTATTATTTGTTTTTGGAAATGGACCTAGTAACTAGCACAATAATTTGAGATTTCCGGTAGCAAATGTTTGAAATACTCTTAAACAAGAGTATACATGAATTGTATCAGAAAAAGGTTTCTGAAAAATGTTAAAGGCAAGAAAGAGCTTTTAAAAAAAAGTTAGAAGAGCACCTTAGAACTGTAGTCTGATGTGAAGTATCCTTTAAAATACAGTTAAAACACTTGCTAAAAGAAAGATGTGGTTACAGAAGAACACAAGAGGCATTAAACCATTAAAAAACTACTGCTGATTTGGTGATAGAAGAGTAGAAATTTGCCACATTCTGATAAAATCTTACAACAGGAATTCCTGATACAGAAATACTATAGATTCTGGGGAAAAAAAAAATACTGTCTTGCAGAAGACTTAAAAATGCAATGGAGAAGGAAAAGATTTTGAAAAACAAAACATAGCAATCAACAGCTGTTGATCATAGAATTATTCAGGTTGAAAAAGACCCTTAATATGGTAGAGTTACACAGAGTGTTTTCTGTGGAGTCCCCTACTCAACAGTTCAGTGAAGACAAAGTTTCCAATTTTCTACCAACTTTACCAAAGTTCTCAGATGAATCACAGAATCACAAGATAGTTTGGACTGGATGGGACCTTCAAAGACCATCTAGTCCACTTTCCCTGACATGGGTAGGGACATCTTTCACTTGATTAGGTTGCTCAAAGCCCCATTCAATCTGGCCTTGAACATTTCCAGGGATGGAATTCACAACTCCTCTGGGCAACCTGTTCCAGTGCCTCACAACCCCAATTGTAAAAACTTTATTCTCTGCGTCCAATCTAAACATACTCTATAACTGTTTAAAGCCATTGCCCCTTGTTCTGTCACTTTAGGCCTTGGTAAAACATGTCTTTCTTATAAGCCCTCTCTAAGCACCACAAGGCCACAGTGAGACCTCTGAGCAGAGCCTTCCCCAGGATCAACAGCCCCAACTCTCTCAGATCTGCTTTGAAGGAGAGGTTCTCCATTCCTCTCACGACTTCCATGGCCCTCCTCTGGACCTGCTCTAATACATCCACATCCTTTCAGAACTATGGGCCCCAGAGCTGAATGCAGCACTGCAGATGGGGTCTCACAAAAGCAGAGCAGTGAGGGGAGAATCACTGCTCTCTACCTGCTGTCCATGCTTCTTTTTAAGGAGCTCAGAATATGCTGACCTTCCAGGATACACGTTACTGCCTCATGTCCAATTTTTCATCCACTCCCCACGTCCTTCCCTGCAGGACTGCCCTCAATCCACTCATTCCCCATTCTCAACAGATATTGGGGATTGCCTTAACCCAGGGGCAGAAGCTTGAGGCGTGCTCCTCAAGGCTGTCAAGGTCTCTCTGCATGGCACTCCCTTCCCTCAGCACATCACCTGCACTGCTCAGCTTGGGGTCATGTGCAAACCTTCTAAAGGCACTCTCAAGCCCATTGTCTATGTTATTAATAAAGATATTGATCATCATCAATCCCAATACAGACCTCTGAGGGACACCACTTGCTACTGATCTTCATTCTGACATTGACACAGTGACTACAACTCCTTGGATGTGGCCGTGCTACCAGTTTCAGTTCCTCATTCACCAAACAGTTCATCCATTAAGCCCAAAGCTCTCCAACTGAGAGATAAAGATAAGCGTGAGACCATGCCATGCTGTCTGCAACAGATGGGAACAAAGTCTGAGAAACAGACAATATATGTATCTGCACCTTGTTACACACTTTCTAGATAGCAATAATCCACATGTAGGGCATGTTCAAGTAATTTTTTTACAACTGGTAATGCTCAAAAGTCTTAGTTACTGACCTGGAAATATCTAAAGGGATTTGTCAGAACAAAGGGGCATGGAGAGAGAAAAGAATAAGGGACTTGACAGACACTACTAATAAGGGAGAAAGGCATCCCTCATACAAGAAAAAAGATGCAATAAAAGCTTCTGCATGAGTTTATCTAGCGAGCCATGCTGATAAACAGAGCAACTTAAAAAGGAGACTCAGCAGATGCACGCCTTCCTTTCCACCCCTCCGACTGCTTACTAAAAACAGTCTTCGCCTTGACTGCAAGGGAGAAACTTACGCAAACAGACAAGAGATTCATTCCCCTGCTGGAGACTCACAGCAGCATCAAGACACCGAGGAACCTGTAGCGAACCTGGCGCACGTCAATGGCTCCACTCGAGCAGGCACCAGCGGGGAGGCGGAGGTTCCTCAACCCAAACACGGAGCCCCCTTTCGCCCAAACACCCCGGCACCGGTGCCCCGCTCCCCGAGGAGGAGAGCGCCTTGAGCAGCCGGCCAAAGGCTCCGGGGGAGCCGGAGGAGGAGGGCACGGAGCCGCCTCCAGCCGCCTCCCGCCGCAGGGCTCCGGCTCGCAGGGCCGCTGCCGCGCCCGGCCCCTCAGCATCGCCCGGGCTGTCACCCCCGGCCGGGAGGTGAGGCTCCCTGCCGAGGGGCCCGGCACCACTCCAGCCCTGCCGGGGCAGCCCCCGCGGGCTCCGAGCGCTGCCGCCGAGGGATGGCGGGGGGACGCCGTTACCTTCGCTCTTGCCCAGGATGCGGCAGCAGAGGCTCTGCAGCAGAACGTTGGGGGATTTTTGGTCCGGAGTCGCCATCGCCGCGCGGGATGCAGGAGCGGCGGCAGGGCCGGAGCACGGCGGGGTGGCGGAGGGAAGGAGGGGCCAGGACGCGCGGCGGCAGCGCAGGGACCGGGCGGCACCTCCCGCTCCCGCCTAGGGCGCCATTTTCACGGGACCCGCCGAAAGCCGCAGCCGCGGCCGCACGCCCACAATGCCCCGCGTGCGGTTCCGGGGCGGGCCCGCGCCGCCCCCGCGGCTCGGAGCGCCTCAGGGGCGGCCCGAGTGCCGGTAGTCAGCTTCCCTCACAGCGCCGGATCGCCGCACCGCCGCTCTGCTAACGCGGACAGGGGTGCGGGCCTTCTCCGGCCGCCGCGGGCAGGAACGAAAAACCCTTGATGGTGGGCTACCAGAGGGCTTCGGACTACCAGTGGCGTTGCGGGATGTAGACACGGATGCAGAGGAGTCCTCTTGCCAAAACAGGTTCTTTAACCCGATGTGCTAGAGGCCAGTACACACAGAGTCGAGGTATTGGATTTATTTACAGTTCTGCACTGAAAGGGGTGCTGGGTAGCAAATTCACAAAGCCCAACTATCATAAGTTTTTTTTACTATCATCCCATCTATCAAAACCTTTTACTATTTATCCATTTTAGTAAACAAAGGAATTAGTGTTTATTGGCTACAAGTTAGTAGTTCTGTTCTTAATTAATATTCTATATTAATGGTTCCATTGCTTCTCATCCTTATTAGTCCACATTTTCAATCTTTTGAGAGTCGGTGGCTGTGAGTCAGGGGTCACAATCTCGTCCTGCCAGAATTACGTTTTACCCGGTCGGAGCTGATTTCAGCACAGTTGCTGAGTTTGCTTTATTATTTACTTCTTGATCTTGGAAGTTCTGCTAGGTGCCCTTGTGACGTCTAAATTCTGCGTTCTTTGTGTCCACCATCCGTGGTATATCCTTCTTCCCAAGTTTTGTTAACCTCCCCCAGGTCTGAGGTCATTGAAACATATCGAGCCCTAAAGCTTAACAAAGCAATTCTTCCAACAACTAATTTGTCTTTCTAACACCTGGACATCACTTACAGCTTCTTAGTTGCTCTCTGTTTCTCTCCTTTTTTTGTTGTTGTTTAGGCTTGAAGGTATACAAAGATCAAACAGCAGAGAACACACTTTCTTCAGAAATATTTACATATTCCACGTGTTGCAACAATCCCACAATAGCCATAAGTGCTTCCATGCAGACATCCTCACAAACATAACATAGACGTAGTGAAATGGAACACAGCCAGGGAAAAGAAAAATTCTGAAGTACAAACTGAAGGAATGACAGGAATGACAGGCAGGAACAACCCAATTTTTTTTTGTTACTTATCCATTAAATTTTGCCCAATTATATCACTGCCTTATATTTTACATTCAAAGCAGGCTAACTACACAAATGGTTTAAGATGAAGATGTTCACCTTGTTAGGAATTTTTACTAGAGATTTCCCAACTAAATTTGAAGATCTCACAGGTATCTAAGGGTTTTGCCCCCATACTCCATAGAAGTAATTGAACATGGTGAATGAATTACTTATGGACAGGGCAGGTTCACTTACTCCCCCCAGAGAAGAACAGGCCCTGGGGTGGCAGCATTTCTGTGATTTGCTGCCTTGGGGATTGAGGCTCATTTGTGGCTTTTCCACACAAAGTAATTACAAATCAGGGTGGGTCTGGAACAATGTGTGAGGATCCTGGACCCACATGTCCGTGTCCTGCTGTGCTGTGCAGCTGGGTGTCCTCAGTCCCTGTGGAGGGCCTGGGCTCTGCTTGCTGGGCAGCACTGGGACCAGGGACAGCACACTCACGGCTGGTCTGCTCTGCTCCCTGTGACCTGCTCCTCAGGCTTGTCACCCCTAGCACAGACACGGATGTCTGAGTTCCATCTCTTCAGTGAATTCATGCTGTGTCTAGCCCAAAAGGCGTACTTAGGAAGTAATTACCCTTGTACTGCTGGAGTCCTGTGTAACCTGTGATTGGAAATGCTGCAGCAACAGCAGCCAGGTGGGCTTGGTGCATGGCTGGCTGTGAACAAATCGTTCCTGCTGTGCAACACGTGGCTTTCTGACAGCTCCCCTTGGCTTTACTGTCTCCACAGCCACAATTTTGTGTGTATATGCTTTCTACAGGCACGTACACATGGCCTTTCATTATGGGAACATTACAGATGTAAACATCAGCTCATTGCTAGCATGACTGCTAGAAACAAATCACAGTGGCAAGCCAAGAACTGAAACACATTGAGGATGTATGGCAATTCGTTGCTTGGAATATTCTAGGAGAAACCTTCATAGTCTCATCACTCACACTAAAACACTTCAGTTCTTAGTGATACATTCTTTGCATTTTTTTTGAGAAGTAAAATAGGACCCAAAATGAATAAAGTTACCAGAACTTTACGCCATGTAAATATGGATTGTAAGCTTAATTTTCAATAATTCTGAAGTAAAGACTTCAAAGATGGTGTGACCTTGCTTTTTTTTTTTTTTTTTTTTTTTTTTTTTTTTTTTGTACTGAACAGCAGAAGAATCTCTTCCATTTTTCTGCCCAAAGCACATGCAGTTGTGCTACAAAGGGCTGGTGACTCACCACTGCTGCTAGTCACTTCAGATTTAGATTCCACCGTGGAAGGTGTTAATCTAGCAAGCAGCAAATATGGTTCTCATATGAGGCAAAAAAATAACCTTGGCAATTATATCTGGAAGTGGTTTTCCTTGATAAAACCTTAACATTCCAAGGGAATCCAGTCACTCACAAATATCCTGTTACTGCTTTTAAGTGGATATTACTTTCTGGTCACACTAGTTCATTTTAACTAAGGCAATTGTGTCACTGGTCTGAAATCAGAACACATTACAGAGCAGCACGATGAGAACATGCCATTGAAATGGGTGTGCTCATTGCCTCCTGCAAGCAGCAGTACAAACACAAACCCAAGCTTTTCAACTTCAGCACAAGCACATGCTATGTTATGTCACACTGTGAAGTAGTGTGATAGCCAACCATTCTGTTACATTACTGAGAATGTATTCTCTCATTTCTAGTCTCTTGTTCCTAAGGAAACGAGGCTTAATGCCTCATTTATTGTTATCCTGTATGTCAGTGCCTCCTCATAACTGCTGGATTTCATCACCAATTTTAAAGAAATTCAGCAGAGGCATAGAGTTTTTAAGGATATTAGTAAAATTGAATGGAAGTCAGCAGCTGAGAGTACTAAGGCCTAAGTCAGTCCCCCTTTGAAAAGAAAGGTAAGGGGAACTTACTTCTCCCTCCTGTGTTTGCCCTTAGCAAAGCAGCTGATTGGTGTGTACATACCCTGGACACACCATCCTAACATCCTAACTCTGAGCCACCTACAGGACCAGCTCTGCTTGCCCAGCTTGATGGATGGATGATTTAAGAACTGAAGGTGGAAGGGACAGGGAACTCTGGACATAATGTGGAAAATGGTCAAAAAGAGACAAGAGGGATGGAAAATAGAAGGAAACTAAGCTTGACTAGTGTAATTCCTCACAGACCTCCTTGCTTTTTTTTTGTAATAGAAAGAATGAATCCTAAAATCCTGTTTAGAAATGCTAATTCTGATAGAGCAGGTTGGTAGCACATGAAATTCATTGTGGTTTTACCAACTCTGGTACAGCTGTGATTGCTTAAATCAGCTTAAAAAAATCTCATTACCAATGAGAAAGAAGAAATATAAACTATTTTCTTACTGTATAGCTATAAGCTTAGTTCACCTTTCTGCTTGGTCTCTCAGCATTGGACAATAAAAAAAAAGTTACTGCTGCTCAGATTTTTCACAGTATAGAGCGTTCATCAGTTAGCAGAGTTAAATGTGTGTTTTTAAAATTATCACAGTATCTTACAAGAAAATCAGCTCATCCTTAGAAGGTTAAAGGGACTTGTGTTTCAGATCTGCTACTTAAAGATCATATTTCTGATAGTGAATGCTTTTATAAGGAAAGAACATACCATGAGATCCAGCAGGAGGTGGAAGCTGAAGCTTGCCAAAGTAAGGCTAGAAATAAATGACAGTTTTAATTAAATAAGGATATTCACTCACTAGAGATAGATGTTTCAAAGCATGGCTTTATTAATATCTGAAACATTTTAAATCACCCTTCTGGTACAGGCCTAGTCGGATATGAACTGACACGGGAGCTGCTGAATTGTTTCCATTCTGCACAAGCTCAGTCTGCAGTGTATCATTGTCCACTTCAATCTTAAATAGTCTAAATCAAATCAATAGTACTAAGCAAAAAAAAAAAAAAATCTTATCCTTACAAAAAAACTAAGGGTTAATTGTGCTGGTTTTGTGAACTCTTCTTTAGTTATGCCTACAGGGCACAATACCTTAGACACACCAAAAGCAGTAGGGAATCATTCTTAACACCTCCAGCATTTCACTGTTCTGGACAGACTTTTTTATGTGTCATGTAGCCAATGTTAAGAATTACAGTGGCTGGAAATGGGGATGGATACTGCCTGTGCCTTAGTTAGCATATGGCAGCCCTGGAAGTGCAGCAGCTGGGCCTCTTCTGGCTCCAGCACCATGTGGTTTCTGCCCCTAAGCATGTATTTTCCGCATAGGCAATCTCAATATGGCCTAGAGCTATGCTGTGTCTGCAGCATTAAAAGGATATTAAACTGATCTCATTTTTGAAAGGCCATATGTTTTAGGATGATATTCTGTGACTCAGTTTCAGATAGATGTCCCTGTGCACAAGTGCAGCTCACATGAAGAGAGCGTTTAATCCAGTTTAACCCTCTTGCTCGTGTTAGTTCTGCATTGCAGCCTATTTGTTGGGACTTTCATTATATTGCTACCACTTCTCCATTTTCAAACTCTGGACTTCAGCTGTTCCTCTGTTGACTAGGGAGCCTGAAGTACATTCCATAATGCCATATACTTACAGAAAGTCTACTGAATTGGTGTTAGTCTATCAAAAAAGAAACTTCTGTTTCCCTATACTTAAAGAGAGGCCAGAAACCGATTTAAGCTATGTAAGAGCAAAACAAAGATTTTTTTTTTTTTTAATTTGGGATTTTTATTCAACACTTACAATAGAATAGCAATTTTAGATCACAGAATCATAGAATGGGTCAGGGTGGAAATGACCATAGCGGGTCATCTGGTCCAATCTCCCTGCTCAAGCACGGTCATCCTAGAGCACTTAGCACGGGACTGTGTGCAGATAGTTCTTCAGTATCTCCAGTGAGGGAGACTCCACACCCTCTCTAAGCCACCTGTTCCAGAGCATGGTCACCCACACAGTAAGGAAGTTCTTTCTCATGTTCAGGTGGAGCATCCCGTGCCTCAGTTTCTGCCCATCACCTCTTGTTCCATTGCTCAGCACCCCCGAGCAGAGCCTGGCTCCATCCTCTGACACCCTCCCTTCAGATGCTGACAGACATTGACACAGTCGCCTCTCAGTTGTCTCTTCTCCAGGCAGAACAGCCGCAACTCCCACAGCCTTTCCTCA